CCCACACGGCTGGTGCCCAGGTTGTTGCTGATGCCCCTCTCTCTGCTCAGAGCGGGGAATACCAGGAGGATACCATCCGTTTTGGCCTGGAGTGCGTGTACCTGGATAGCTGGGCATGCCAGCGCACCTACCAAGCCTTCAAAGAGGTGCTGGGGTCTGGCATCTGCCACCATCTCCAGGTAGGGGCTGGGTGGGTGCCAGGGGGGTGCCAGGCCAGTGCTGGCGAGTGCTGAGAGGCCTCTGCTTCCCCAGAACAACGAGCTGCTACGGGAGATCTTTGGCCTCGGGCCCCCATTGGTGCTGGATGCAGCTGCTCTGAAAGCCAGCAAGGTCTCCCGCTTAGAGAAGGTGGGTGCTGCCACCCACATTTGTGCCCACAGTGCCCTTCCGTGCTGCTGTGGGCTCCAGACGAGTGCCTGAGTGTGGTGGGTGCCAGAGGGGAGCTGGGCAGAGGGGCATCCATTAACCTATCTCTCCTTCCCTCCCCACCAGCACCTCTACAACTCGGCTGCCTTCAAAGCCCGCACGAAAGCCCGGAGCCGAGTGCGGGACAAGCGGGCTGATGTGCTGTGATGGGCAGAGGGGGCAGAGCCCCTAGCCCACCTGGACTGCAGACCCAGCACTGTGAAGGGCCGGCGCCCCCAGCCCTCAGGCTTTTATTTGTGTACAGCAGAGTATTTAATGCCTGGAGCTACCCCGCCAGGGGCTGCCCCCTCTTTTATTTTTTTTAACCAAAGCAAAAAGAAGGATCAAAGAAGAGCGGGGGGAGGTGGTGGCGGCGTGCTGCTGTGTGCCTGCTCTGGGGCTGGGGCTCCGTGTGGCATGGTGGAGGGGGTATCACAGGGCTCCTGCAGCCCCTTTAAGTGGGCAGGGCTCATGTACCTCCTCCCTGGTCTCATGGGGGCCTGGCACAGCTTGAAAAGGCTGGGTGGGAGGGCAGAGCCATACAGGGCTGCAGGGCAGCTGGCAGCACAGTGCCTGTGCTGGTGGCCCCAGTGTTTGTGCTGGTGGCCCAAGTGTTCCCCACTGCCATGCTGGGCACAGCTTCTGCCTCCACAACCACCCTGGTATCCAGGGGTGGTGGCAGAGCAGTATGGGGCATCAGGCTCTGCCCAGCCCTTCCAGCTGCCAGCTCTAAGCCTTTTTCCAGCCAAATGCTTTATATGAAATAGTTCTCTTATGAGAAATAAATTACAGGGGGGTGGCACAGTGGGTGAGTCCTAGTGCTGCCCATGCAGCCTCAAGGGGCTGCTGCCTGTGTGGGCATGGGTCTGTGCCATCTGGGAGTGCCTTCTGCTCTGGGAATGTATTTGTGGTGGTGATTTTCTAAGACTTTGATTACAGGAGGTAATTAAAAGGCTAATTGGAGAGTGCCTTCTGCCTTCTTGTTAGGAGTAAGGGCTGTCACTGCCTGAGTGCCAGTCCTTGCAGCCATGTCCCTTTCTCTCACAGCCTGGGGTGGGGGCCAGGATTGCCTCTGCTACTACTCTGCGCCACATGGGGCGATGCTGCCAGGTCTGAGTGGGGTGTGGGGCTGGTAGTGCTGCCTGCTTCCCCTTCCCGCCCTTCAGTACCCCTTTCCATGGTGGCCCAGTGCCCATGGTGGGGCCAGGAGCAGCTCAGCGGTGCCCACCAGGCTCAGTGCTGGTGTTCAGGTGAGCC